AAAGAGAGAAGAGAGGGGTATATACATTAGGTTAGCGCTTGCCGCGGTGACGTCTAGTCTTGGGAGCCAAGGCCCTCCTGAGCTCGGACAACCCGCTGAGGATCCTGGGATGGGAATCCCGAGCGCGCTCGATGGCCGCCTCGAAAAAGACAGCGTAGTTTTTCTTCAAAATAGGCGAGAGTCTCGCAAGGAAAGGCGCCCTAGAATGGGGATGTAGGATGGCATCAATGGCGTCGGTCCAGGAGGTTTCATCATCGACCAAGGGTCCAGGGTCGATTTTGGAAATGATGATCTCTCCTAAAATTCTATCGATGCAATCACCCAGGTTCGGCGGCAGGTCTTCCTCCATCGGGGTAGGTGGTGGGGACGGAGGTGTCATAGCCGGTTTCGGATCCTCTTTGTGGGGAGCAGATGGTGTCGGCCCAGCGGGCCGAGGCGCAGGCAGTGGGGGTGTTGAAACTGCGGCTGGTGAGGGAGCAGAGGGCTCCTCAGTGGTGGTCATGTCGACATCCGGTGTGTGGGTCGCAGGTCCGAGGGTCCCCTGTGCAGGCAGAGGGCCACACGGGGCAATGAAGTCCGGCCGGGCGGGAGGCGTCGACTCAGGACGCGACGCCGCCGAGCGAGGGCCCATGGGATCTTCAGGTGAAGGGGTCATTGGTGGAGGAGCTGGAGTCACCGCCTGCATGGGTGAGGCCGGCGGCGCTGGTGTAGACGGCCGGGGCGCCGTAGATGGTGGGGACGCAACTCGGGCATCTGGTTGAGCGCCGGAAAGCCTGACAGCTGGGCTGGTAGGCGCCGGCGGGGTTGGCGCGGCCGGAGACGGTCCAGGCAGCCTAGGTGCGGTCGATGGTGGAAGGCCGGTGGAAGGGGGCGGTGAGGCCCGTCTGGCGGTAGTAGGACGCCCATGGAGTTGGGGGCAGTTTGCTCTTCGGTGACCTTGACCACGGCATTTCGAGCATTTGACTCCGTGGGTCAGGAAAGCTGGCCATGGCTCGCCCTTGATCCTCAGTTCGAATCGAGAGGGGAGCATTTCGACGGTTATGCCGTCATGGAGGAGTATAAAGGCCTCCCGGCGGCCGTCGGTGAAGTTAAACTCTCCAACTCTAAGCTGTTTGGGGGCGATGGAGGTTATTCGGCCGTATCTGGAGAGAGCATCCATGACGGCGGCGTCTCCCACAAAGAAGGGGAGGTTCCCAATCGTAACTCTGATTGAAGTTCTCCTGAAGGGGAAGGTCTTGAGAAGGGTTCCCTCGATCTCGAGGCCCTCTCGAACTAGGCGCTCCGCCAGGGATATGTTGGCGAGTCCGACCAAGTATTGCCCGTTCGCCTTAGTGAACTGGACAATGTTTCCTGTGCTTCCGACCACCTTTTCCAAAGCCTTCATGTACTGGTAGGTCTGGTATTCCGGACAGAACTCGAGGAAACAGCACTGCACCTCGGTGCAGGACGCCTGTCGAGCCCTGGCCTCCATGACGTGTGCCCTCGTGGTCCTGATTTCCTGGACCTGGGGCATCCGTCCCGTCGACGGTCGCTGTCGGCGAGAAGTGTCAGCGCTGTTAGACTGCGCGGCCATGGCAGGCAGATCCAGCGAGTCGCGGCGCCTCTTCCTGCCTTTTACGACTGTGAAGCTGTCATCCTCCTCAGAATTCACATTCTCGGCATAGTCTGCCCAGTTTCTTTGGGCATCGGCACCGCGGTTGGAAGAAGGGAGAGCCGCCAAGTTGAACGGCGCGGCCGAATTTACATTTCTTCCGCCGGCGGGAGAATTTGCATAAGTTTCAATTCTCTCATTAGTATTCGAGATATTTCTCTGCGAATTGAAAATTGCAGATTTCTCTGCACAGGGCTGTGCTACGTTGCTGTGCCTTTCAGGCATTTGATCAGCTTTTAATGGGCTTTCAGCCCGTGCTAAATTCGGCGTACTGCCGGTAGCCTTACACTCGCCAGGGTGGGAAAAAGGCGGAGCTCGACAAATGCGTGCCGCACGGCCGAGTGTGTGTGTGTGTGTGGTCTGTTTGTCCTTTATGCCTGACCAAACCACTCATTGGAACGCCATGAAACTTTGGGAAGTTATTTAGTATAGTACTGGGAAGGTTTCTAGCAAATAAAATTTTTGAAATAACTTTTCGCTTTAAAATAATCAAGCTAAATATTCTAATTTATCTGTTATAATTCAACAATCTGCTCTAAATATTATCATGATGATACGATGATTTTGTAATGTAGAAAATTAGGAAAGACAAAATTCAGGATGACACGGCAATTTATTTGAGACAAGAATAATGATACAATTCCAAGGCAAGATACTATTCCTTTAACTTCCAATTACCGAGGGAACCAATTAGTATTGATTTTATTCAACTTATCGAGTATTTTTAAAGTGACCGGGAAATAATGTTCACTTTATCGAGAGATTCGTTAGACAAACCTTTACTCGGGTAAAACCCGGGCGAAGCCGGGTACATCCATACAAGAATAATGATACAATTCCAAGGCAAGATACTATTCCTTTAACTTCCAATTAGCGAGGGAACCAATTAATATTGATTTTATTCAACTTATCGAGTATTTTTCAAGGGACCGGGAAAAAATGTTCACTTTATCGAGAGATTCGTTAGACAAACCTTTACTCGGGTAAAACCCGGGCGAAGCCGGGTACGTCCGCTAGTTGTGTATAAATGAAGTGAAACGAACACAATAAATTATCTTTATTTTATTTTATTTATTTATTTTTGCAGCTGGAACAGCTTTATTCAAGTGATTCGGGGGAAATTACAAGGCTGATAATTATGCCGAGTTGGTTGAAATGTGGTCGCTTGTTATGGTGTCATGGGGTGCCTCAAAATATATGCTGGACGCCCATTTCGACGCATTCAAGGACATGGGAGCATACTCAGAAGAACAAGGGGAGCGCTTCCATCAAAATATTGCGGCGCTGTTTTATCTTTATTAGAACAGAATAAATCTTTACACTGAGCGACATCGCCGTCCACTCTATACGTTGTGGGACCACGGCGGGTGGTTATGTCAACATGTTTTGGTACTGACTCAATGAGGATGGTGTCCTGAAGGATGACTGCCAAGATCTTAAATAACATTATCCAAGTCTACGTGAACCCAGTTCAGCTAATCAGAATAATGCCCGAGAAAATGCATTTAGCGATTGTTATGTTATATTGTTATGTTGAATACTTTGATTTCCTTTTTTTCCCCTTCTCTCCTTTGTTTATGTTTTCCCCCCTTTCTCCATGAAAATGATGTATGGCGAGTCCTTACAGGACGGAAATGTCCTAATAAAGCTGTTGTTGTTGTTGGGATGTTGACTGCCAACTTCTGAAGGCGTCTGTGGCAGCGCACGGAAACGCCGTTCAATTAGATCCCAGACGTGTTCTATAAGAGAAAGACAATGAAAGATTGGTGGCCATGAAAGCACCGAGGTTTTATGCAGGGTATGATGCGTGCTGTGTATGGTCGGCGGTTATTTTGCTGAAAATAGCCTTTGGTACATCCTGAAGGAAAGGTAGCGTCAGCGGCCGCTGCACGTCATCCACGTATCGTTGGGCCGTCATAGTGCCCTCAATACGAATCAGAGAGAGAGAATATGTTTTACGGGCTACTGACCAAAATGTATGATTTTTGAGCCCAAAAAGAATGTATTAATCAGACAAGCCGCAATGCACTATATCAAAGTACCAAGGTGCTGCACGCACAACCAAGGTTGTTCAAAAAGGTTAGATACCCAAGGCCAGGGAAGATAAAAGAAAGACAGATGTTGTTTAGATAAGAAAATTAGATAAGGCGGGAATGATTCAGCAACTGATGGTAAAAGATAATTTTCTTTTTGTAAATCCTTATATCCTTCCTTATATATATAAAAATGAAATGCGAAATCGATGTTTGTTATCGCATCACGCAAAATCTACTGACTCAATCATTATGGAATTTCGCATGTAGGTAGCTGAAGATTTCGTTTAACATATAGGCTATTCAAAAAACTAAAATAGTTAATGTGCTTTTTTTTAAAAATAAAAAACCAAAAAGCGTTAGTTCCAGTTTTTTACCGCTAGGGCGCAGCACTGGTCGCGACGATAAATGAATTTGATTTTTTTAAAGCATCGGTGGTTCAGTGGTAGAATGCTCGCCTGCCACGCGGGCGGCCAGGGTTCGATTCCCGGCCGATGCATTTTTTTTTTAACAATTTTTAAAACTCATTTATATTATATCCTTCCTTGTCCTTCCTTATATATATATAAAAATGAAATGCGAAATATATGTTTGTTATCGCATCACGCAAAATCTACTGACTCAATCATTATGGAATTTCGCATGTAGGTAGCTGAAGATTTCGTTTAACATATAGGCTATTCAAAAAACTAAAAAAGTTAATGTGCTTTTTTAAAAAAATAAAAAACCAAAAAGCGTTAGTTCCAGTCTTTTACCGCTAGGGCGCAGCACTGGTCGCGACGATAAATGAATTTGATTTTTTTAAAGCATCGGTGGTTCAGTGGTAGAATGCTCGCCTGCCACGCGGGCGGCCAGGGTTTGATTCCCTGGCCGATGCATTTTTTTTTAACAATTTTTAAAACTCATTTATATTATATATTATATCTTCTATATAAATGGAAATTTCATAAGTGGTGTTCGCTAAAAACTTTCGTTACAATGCATCAATTTCGACCAAATTTTCAACATTTATGTAAAACGAGATGGAGCAGGTTTTGCTTAACATCCTTCCTTCCTTATATCCTTATATATATAAAAATGAAATGCGAAATCGATGTTTGTTATCGCATCACGCAAAATCTACTGACTCAATCATTATGGAATTTCGCATGTAGGTAGCTGAAGATTTCGTTTAACATATAGGCTATTCAAAAAACTAAAAAAGTTAATGTGCTTTTTTTTAAAAATAAAAACCAAAAAGCGTTAGTTCCAGTCTTTTACCGCTAGGGCGCAGCACTGGTCGCGACGATAAATGAATTTGATTTTTTTAAAGCATCGGTGGTTCAGTGGTAGAATGCTCGCCTGCCACGCGGGCGGCCAGGGTTCGTATCTCTATATATATAAAAGTCAATTTCTGTCTGTCTGTCTGTCTGTTTCGCGATAAACTCAAAAACTACTGAACCAATTGGTACCAAATTTTGCATGTCGCTTTTTATAAACCTGAGGAAAATTTTCGGCTGCATTTTGATTAGTATTTTTGGCTATTTCTTTTTTTCATTCGAAGAACTTTTTTTACGCGGACTAATCCGGAATGGAATGAATACCTAAATATGGCCATTTTTTTAAGCATCGGTGGTTCAGTGGTAGAATGCTCGCCTGCCACGCGGGCGGCCCGGGTTCGATTCCCGGCCGATGCATTTTTTTTTTTACAATTTTTAAAACTCATTTATATTATATATAATATAAATATATATATGTGATAATGTTGAAATGTATTAGTAGTTTATGCTGTTGGATGAATGCAGTGTGGCATGTTGGCTAGAAGCAGTCGTGCAGTCGTGGTTGTTGAGCGATGGGTGGTAAGGACACACAAAAACGAAGCGACACGTTGTAGAAAGTTCCTTGAATAGATAAAAAGCGAGCCAAAAGCTAAGATGGAGATAGAAGATTCCTTACTGTTTTACATGGTGAATGAGGGTGAACTTGGAGACAACCGGCGACGCGCAGATGGGGAACTGGACTGATACTGACTGTTGCTACGCGGCCTTTTTATACGACCGCTCTGACAAAGAGAATTGGGTCATGCACGTGTCGATGGACACCTGAGACTGGCGACAGACTGTCGGTGTTACTCGAGTCTGGTGCCTACCAGTCGGCTAACAATCTATCTTTAGAAGTTACTTTGTGATCTCTCAATCCTGCTTTTGACTTAGTTTTTAATCTATTATATAGTTTTATTCATCCTCAGTACATTACATATGGTGGTGCAAGGAGACATGTCAATTATGCGTATAATTAGTTAGTTTATAATTAGTTCTATATACAACATGACAAGCTTGTTATACGTATTACATAATATAGGGTTATTGGTTTAAATTATCATAGATGGGCCCCGGGAGTGAAAGGGTTTATCCGGGTTTAAGCGGGTAAAGCCTCTCTAACACAGGTAAGTAATTAAAATTTCTTTTAATTAATTAAAACTGTGAGGGGAAAGGGCTATAACAAGATGTTTATTTGGCTATATCTGAAAATTATAAAAATAAAACTTATGTTTAATTAAAAAGTTATGATATTCATTATAAAAGAGAACTGTAGATAAAACCTTTGTTTGCTAAAAATAATGATGATAAAAAATGATGTTCTAAAAGATTGTTGGCGGGCGTTGGAAAGGGTTAGGGGTTGAAGAATATGCAATTGTAAGTGTTGCACAGACAATCAAATACTGAGATCCAGGTGCAAAGCGAGGATATAGACTTGTGCGTCTTCCTAGGCAATGTTTCACCTGTGATCCTGTATAAGGTTACAGTGCTTTGTCACAATTGTAGGGTTATTGGTTGAAAAGATGTTGAAGAAAAGAATTAATATGCTTGAAAGGGGTGGTAGAGCCATGCGATAAGTAGAATTGTTGTAGCGACAGTAGGGTCTGACTTGACTTGAAATCAAAGGTTGATTGTGGTCCGCTAGAGCTGAAAAAAATTGAAAATTGAAAAAAGTGAACGCTTTGTGCATGCGTTGGTGATGTGCTCTGCGGATGATTGAAATAAACTTTTGAAACGTGTTCAGACCAAAAAGTCGAGACTTGTACTTTTGGGGAACTGTGTTCAAAGAGTTTGTTGAATTACGAAATCAAAAGAAAAATTGCCAAGCAGTACTGTCGTTTCTAGCAATGGCTGAAATAGGTAGTGAGAAAGTATAGGGAATTAGTTAAAGAATATGATTGTTGAAAACGATTGTTGTAGATGCCCGATAGTTGATGATAAACATTGTCATATAATAAAGTTATTTAAACAAAAATATAGTGAATAAAAAGATAGAAATATGATTGCGGATAACAACAGTATAAGGGATAAAATCAAACATATAATATATAAAAGACATAATAATGAACTAGCAAAATATAAAAGATATAATAATGAGAATTAGTAATATATAAAAGATATAATAATGAATTAAAAATGATTATTGAGAGAATTAAATGTTTTGCTATTGTTAAAATAAAGTTGTTAAAATAATGTTGGAATAAAAATTTGATTATAATTGAAAAGTAAAAAAAAAATAAAAATAAAAATAAAAATAATTATTCAAGATTTTATACAAAAAAATATAATATAATTAAAGGATATTAATGATTAGATAAATGTTAAGTAGGAACAAAAATTGTCTCTTTGGAATAAAAGTTAAAAGAAAACAAAAAATATTCGTTCCTGAAAAAAAAAAGAAAGGAACATATTCACACAATGTCTAGGTGTAGGTCCAAGATTATTGGTGTCTTTAGTTTGACCTATGGGGAGGCAATGTGGCCCTATGTCGCTTTGGTCCGGTCTGAGAAGTTGGTCTTTGCCAGATCTTCCCGATTATATTATGTGAGACCAGACGGGGAGCGATCTTGATTCTTAAAATTGGATGGTATTGACGAAGATGATTGTAATATATAACAATAAAGGGTTAACATTATAAAAGCTGGCGTTCTAGTTTAGAAAAAATATTCCATACTGGGCGTGAAAATAATGTAAAAGTTGTAAAACACATAATGATAATTAAAGATATAAAGTGTTATAATATATCAATATTAAAGTTCAAATTAATAAGTGAATTGGGTAATTATTGGTAAGTCAATTAGTTTTAGGTGCTGCAATCTATCCGTCCCGCGAGTTGGACCACGAGCTTCAAGTACAGGCGGACGGGAATTGGAGGTGTCATGTAACCTGCCGCCGCTGCAACTGTTTATTGATGTTGGCGGACGTGAGTCACCCTGCTGGCTGGAAAAAAAATCTCTCAGCACAGTGGTACTTGTCTATTTGAAAATATAGTCTTCTCGGTGTTCGCAAGCGTTGTGTCTCGACGATGTTGCGGACTTAGTAAAAAATGTTATTCAATGATGTCAGGTTAGATGTGCGTAAAAGTGCGACTTCAACGTAGACACGCTTTTGGTGAGGTGTCACAGGCATGAAGGCGTCTTGGGCCTGTTAAGTGAGAAAATTGTTGTGGTGCGCTGTGACACTAGTGTGTGAATTGTATGGAAAGGTGTCACGTGAAATCTTCGTTTTTGGTACAGCATCTAACTAGTTTCCGAATAAATAACAAATTTTATTAGTCATGGGTGGTTGTTGTACGAGACACATCGAGAATTTTCAGATTGTTATAGAGGTGGTATGTTTATCGTGAAATCTTTGTGTTCGCGACGATATGGAGCTCGTGTGGCTCGAAATTGGACGTGTTGTTAAATCGCGCGTTAAAATGGTGGCCAATTGGAGAAAGTGATGTGGGAATGTGTTGAAGTTCGTTCCGAGAGATGTGTGAATTATTAATAATTATGTATGTAAAAAGAAAAGGACGAGGGAGTGTAGCTATGTTGGAATTTTTAACTTGTTTTGGGGAAGGACAGTTACATTTCTAGTTGTGCTTTTGAAGATATTGTATCTTTCGATTTTTGTATTAAAAAAAAATGCGTTTGATCTATGTTTATTAAAATTTGAATATATTTTTTAAATCGTTGCTTATGTTAGTGCGTAAATTATACTTGTAAAAGGGCAATGGCATGATAGTGACTTATAATTTGAATGGGGCGTGTACATAAAATAGTGAACATAACAATGATTTTTTGCAAAGTTTTGTGTATTTAATTAAGACATTGGTGTTTTTTGGTATAAAAATAAGGTATTAAGAGAAACACACAAATAAGTTTAGAATTATGATTCGAGTAATTTAAATATAATATGATTTTTTAGGTAACATTGAAAGTAATGAATTAAAATTTAAAAGTTGCTTAAAATAAAGTAAAAAATGATAAATGAGGGTGTACAATATTTAAAATTTGAATTGAAATGTTATAAAAATGGTAAAATTTGATTTAAAAGGATTACAGTGAAAATAAACATTAAATTTATGGAAAATAAAGTTGTTAGCATGAAGAGAGAGTTAAGTAGATTTTTTTAAAAACTCACAGTTTTTATGATTGTTCAGTCAGGAGACTTGGTCTTTGGTTGTTGTCCTGATGACGTGGAAGGCGTCTTGTAGAGCTTGTAGAAGCTTGTGACTTCTGTTTGGCGATGGTGGCATGTCGTCTGGATGGTTGCGTAGTAAGGTCGAAGGTGGGTAACTTCTCACCGGCTTATTTTGTGGGATGTTCGGCTGTGTCGTTGGGGGGAAGATTGCTTGGTCGTTTTGTTGGAATGGCGTGCTTGTTCCTCCATCTTGCTTCTTGGCTCTTTTCTATCTGGACAGTCTTTACCTTCTTCGTTGTGGTCTCCTTCGTTGTGGTAATCCTGTCGACTCTCTGTGATAATGTTGAAATGTATTAGTAGTTTATGCTGTTGGATGAATGCAGTGTGGCATGTTGGCTAGAAGCAGTCGTGCAGTCGTGGTTGTTGAGCGATGGGTGGTAAGGACACACAAAAACGAAGCGACACGTTGTAGAAAGTTCCTTGAATAGATAAAAAGCGAGCCAAAAGCTAAGATGGAGATAGAAGATTCCTTACTGTTTTACATGGTGAATGAGGGTGAACTTGGAGACAACCGGCGACGCGCAGATGGGGAACTGGACTGATACTGACTGTTGCTACGCGGCCTTTTTATACGACCGCTCTGACAAAGAGAATTGGGTCATGCACGTGTCGATGGACACCTGAGACTGGCGACAGACTGTCGGTGTTACTCGAGTCTGGTGCCTACCAGTCGGCTAACAATCTATCTTTAGAAGTTACTTTGTGATCTCTCAATCCTGCTTTTGACTTAGTTTTTAATCTATTATATAGTTTTATTCATCCTCAGTACATTACATATGGTGGTGCAAGGAGACATGTCAATTATGCGTATAATTAGTTAGTTTATAATTAGTTCTATATACAACATGACAAGCTTGTTATACCTATTACATAATATAGGGTTATTGGTTTAAATTATC